GTCGGATCAGCCGCCGATGTCGGATCAGCCGCTTTGCGTTTGAATTTGTTGGGTGCGGATGATGATGATGCTGCTGGCTGCTCCGTATCGATCTCCTTCTTCGCACTCGACGACGTCCGTGTCGAGGCACGACGCACCGGGCCGGCTGTTGTTGTCGCACGCGCCATGGCGGTCACCGATCTAGGGAGGAGGTGTCTATGGTGAGTCGAGGTGGCCTCCAAAGTGCGTGCGGGCAAGACAGCGGCGGTAATAGACAGAAGCGAGCGGGTGCGTAGTCTGGCGGCCAAAGTCAGCATCACCAGTCCAAGTGTCGAAAGTGCCAGGACTGGATGCGCGCAAGTCGATGGATGAGAGCGTTTTGCTCTGTCAAGTGGTCTCGCCTTCTTCTCGCCTGCCCGTGCGTGCGTGCGTTCATGACGAGGGCTCGCCGCAGCAGCGGCAGCACAGCGTGTCGCGTTTAGCTGATTTGCAGCCGCTTCTCAATTTCGGGTGTGGAGGTGAAAATGCACGTGACCGCACGCGGTGGAGACTGGTCAAAAGCAACACCCGGCGCGAAGCACCAAACAAACGCGCACCAACACTCGAAAAAGTCACCGCATGGCACGGCGCAGCATAGCCGTAGGAGAGCAGAAGCCCCATCATCACCTTGGCCCTTCTCCTCCATCCACCTCCTCCTCAAGAACACCCACCGTTGACCTGTGCACGCTGCCCATCATGGTCGGAGGCACATCCAACATGGGTCCGCCCGCCGTCACGCCGCGCAAGGCGCCCACCACGCCCTCGTCCAAGAATGCCTTGGCCTTGGGCGTCACGCCACACAAGACTCCCCTCCGCACGCCTGGCGGCTCCAAGATCGAACAGACCTCTTCCACACCCATCATCGACTTCCGCGCCATCGAGTCCCAAAAGGAAAACGTACAGCCCCTAGCGAAGGGCAGATCCGCACACGCACTCTCCAACACCCTCGGCATGCAGCACAAGCAGAGGCAGGCGCTCCTCGCCCAGCAGCGCGCAGAGCACGAGAGCACCGTCACCTCTGCAGACAATGCCGACTCCGACGACCCCCTCGATGCTTGGACAAAGTACGTCAAGTGGTGCATCGACAACTACCCTTCCGGACAGACGCACGACTCGGGCCTCATCCCCCTGCTCGAACGTGCCACGCGCCACTTTAAGGACTCGGAGCAGTATACAAACGACCCCAGATATCTACGTCTCTGGATTCTCTACGCCAGAAACGTCGAGTGCGCCCGCGACGTCTACAACTTCCTCCTCGCAAACGAAATCGGCACAAAACTCGCCAGCCTCTACGAGGAGCTCGCCGTCGTCCTCGAGGGACGGCGCATGTACGACGAGGCCGATGCCATGTACAAGCTCGGCATCGCACGCAGAGCCAACCCCATCGACCGCATCAAGCGCAGATACGAAGAGTACAAGACACGCATCATCCTCGGCCATCAGTCCTCCGTAGACGCACCGGGCTCCTCCGCCGCTGGCCTCGTCGTCCACTACGCAGATGCTCTCAAAGCGGCCATGGTCACCGCCGGACGCAGCATGCTCGGTCAGAAGGAAGCCGCGCCCGGTCCCGCCCGTAGCCACGCCGTCAACGTCCTCAGAGGCGCTGGCGCCACCATCGGTGCCATCGGCAACAGCACTCCAACCCCCTCTACCAACAACGGTCGTAGGCTCAACGTCTTTCACGATGACGACGACCGCGCACCAGCTTCGTCGTCCAGGCCGCACGCAAGCAGCACCAAGGGCTGGGAGGATATCGGCACCGTCGCGTCTCGCAACCAGGAGAACGTACAGGCGGATCGTCTCGCCGGCGCCAAGAGCTTCAAGATCGGCGCTTCGGGCGGCGTCTCCAAAAAGCCCGGTTCCGGTCTCGCCGTCTTTAGAGATTCCGACGACGACGACGATGACGATGACGAAGCCAGCCAAGTTCCAGCCACCCCGAAACCTGAAGGTGTGCTCAGCCCCAAGGACCACTTTGCCAAACACGCGGCTGGCCTCGGCCGCAAACAAGCTTCCAGCGAGACCGATCTGCTTCGAAGCGACCCTTTCGCCTACTGGGATAAAGATGCAAAGCGCGTGCCCGACCCCGCCAGTCTGCGCCCTGACTCCGACAGTGCACCCGCCTCGCGCAAGGTCTCCCCCTCCAGTTCTGGCTCGCATGGCGAGCGCCACCGCACAAAGACCACCGTCTCGCGATCCACGCAAGCCAGCTCCTCCTCCAGCAAGCCGAGCGCACATGCCTCTGCAGCTCCCTCAGCCGGGACCAAGCGAGAGAAGCACGCTGCTCCAGTGGCCGACATGTATCCCTCGTTTCGTTCCGACGCCCAGCAAGCCCTCTACACTCGCAACGGCTGGCAAAGCGAGATGACGCTCGAAGAGCTCATGGCTCGCGCACGAGGCTTTCCCGTCCTAGTAGAAGGGTGGGAGCCCGCCGCATCTCTCAAGTCGGCCTCCGACCCGTGGACGCACCTCGACCAGCTCGTCGGACAGTGGATGCCTAAAGACGCTGCGAAAGCATCCTCGTCACGACGTGCGGAGCCCGAGCCTACGGAAATCGCCCAGATCGATCAGACGACGGGCATGTTCCCTTCCAGAGACGTCTTTGACCCGGACAACTCGGTCGCCAACGCAGTCGCGCTCAATCTTCGCCCGGGGCTCAAGAAGAAGAAGAGGCGTGAAGGCGATAACACCACCAAGACCAGAATGAGCCCGACCCTTGTCACAAAAGCCACGCTGCTCGAGGTCGAAAACATGTTCAATGGCCAAGACAGCGACTCGGACGAAGACAGCAGCGAGGACGACGACGACGACGAAGAGGATGACGACTACCTCGCGCCGCTCTCCAGCGTCTCCCGCCCAGCGCACATGCGCGTCAGCCTCGGCTCGGCGGCAGATGTGCCGCCCACGCCGACGCCGTCATCACGACCCCACCTCCTCGCCAAGTTTGCGGGCCAGCACGATGAGAACGCCGGCGTGCGTGCCACTCCCTCCCGTACTCCGGGTGCGCAGGCTCCCAGGCTCGGCTTGGGTGGCGCCACGCCGATGCGCACGCCGCTCGCATCCAAGACGGCCGCATCAGCACCCCTCGGCGCCAAGCCCGTGTATCGTGAGGAGGACGAGGAGGAGGATGAGTACGACGAGAACATCGAGCTTCGCGCCACCGCAGAGCAGCCTCAACCCGCTGTACCGCAGCAGTTTGTTGAGGCCAGCTCTCCACCCCGCCCGGCTGCTGCATCTGCGGCCGATGCTGATCTCGACGCACCCGTGCCAGCAACGCCTATGCCTTCCGGCCGTCAATCGGCTAGCCGCCGATGGGTTGAGCCTATGGCGGAAGAAGAGGAGGAGGAAGACGACGAAGAGCAATACGCCGTGGATGAGAACGGCGAGCCCATCGATGGCAACTTGGATGCGGCTGACGGCTTCGAGGGCAACGACCATCTCTTCAGGCCGCAGTTCCAGCCGCTTACGCCGATCACCGAGGCGACGTACGAGTTCACTCGCTACACCAACGGCCGTACGCCAGGAACCGCCACGCGCTCCGCCATCGGTCCCGCGCTCAAGGCGTGGCACGCGACGGAACAGGATGAAGATGATGACGAGGACGACGAGGACGAGCGAGACGATGGAAACGGCGGCGCAAGAGACATCTTGACCAGCGGCCCGATCGCTCCGCGTGGCGCTGCTCCCGTTGACGATGCCAACCTTGGCGACGACTCGCAGGGCGTATCAGACGAACGTAGTTTCGCTTCCACGTCGGGCGAAGACGCCAACCGATCTGCATGGACCGCAGCCAACAAGGCGAGTTTCGAGCTGACCAAGGGCCTCACCATCCGCGTGCCCGCTGGGGAGGAGGGCGACGAGAGCGAGGGCGACTTTGACGAGTCGCTCGTCATCCAGGATCGGGCGGCAACCGACGAGCAAGCGCCAGAGCAGCTGGAAGAGCCTGCGCCAAAAGACGCCGGCTTCTGCCCGCCCAACCCGTGTTCGCCCGTGGATCCGGACGTGCTCAATGCGATTCTGGCACGACTCGACGAACCAGTTGAGAGCCGACCGGGATTCGTTGGCTTGGCTGGCACCATGTCGAACGGCCTGCTCGAGCAGCTGCAGAAGAAGTGCAAATCGAGCCTGGCCTCGAACCAAATGACGCGCAAGAGCATGGGTGGTACCGTGTTCCACGGCACAGGCATGCTTTCTTCGCCCTTCCAGGTCGAGATTGGCGGCAACGCGTTCGAGATCCGAGGCAAGCTCGGAGAGGGAGGCTACGGCGCCGTCTTTCTCGGGTACGACGTTGACTCGGTCGCCACCGCTAAGGCCGCGGACAAGAGCGCCGATCGCGACGACGTCGACTCGGACGACGATGAGGAGGACGACGAGGATGACGAGGCGGACGGACGCAAGCAGGTGGCCATCAAGGTGGAGGCGCCCGCCAATCGGTGGGAGTTTCACATCCTGAGCCAGCTGCAGCTGCGCTTGCCGGCTGCACTGCAGCCTTCGGTGATTGCGGCGCGCAAGCTGTACTGCTACTCGGATGCTTCGTTCCTCATGCTCGACCTGGGCGAGAAGGGCACGTTGCTCGATGTGGTCAACCACGCCGTCAGTGCGGGTGTTGCAGCCGCCGGATCGTCGGCTGCCGATACGACGGGTGGAGGCGCTGGGCTCGAAGAGGTGCTGGCCATGTTTTTCGTCACCGAGCTGCTGCGAGTTGTGCTGGGCATGCATCGTGCGGGCGTGATTCACGGCGATCTCAAGATTGACAACTGTCTGCTGCGTCTTGGCGACGTCTCGCCAGCGAGCGCGTGGTCGAATCTGTTTGCGCGCGACGGCTCGGCTGGATGGGCGAGCAAAGGTCTGACGCTCATTGACTTTGGCCGCGCCATTGACCTGACTGCCTTTGACGACCCCTCGCAGGCGTTCATTGCCGATTGGGACACGGATGCCAAGGACTGTCTCGAGATGCGTCGTGGCGAGAGCTTTACATTCGAAACCGACTGGTTCGGTGTAGCTGCCATCGCCCACTGCTTGCTGTTCGGTCGATACATGGACCTCACCCACGACAACCACGTCTACAAGCTTACCAGCCCCATGAAGCGATACTGGCAGTCGGAGCTGTGGAACAGCCTCTTCCACATCTGCCTCAACCCCAAACCGCGCTCTGCCGACGGCCAAACCGAGGCGCTCGACAAGACCGCCATGCTAGCTCAGCTCGAGTCGTGCCTCGACAACATGCACGCCTGGCTCGAAGCCAACTCGAACAAGGGCGGCAAAAATCTCAAGGGTTTGCTGCGCAAGCTGGAGATCTGGGCCATGAAACAGGGCCACTGATCCCATCAACAGTCCTGCCCAGTCGGCTCGTTGCTAGACCACCTATAAAGCCCGAGGAAATAACGAATTAAAGGAGCTTGCTGATGTTGCAAACGTGTCCGAGAGTGCAAGTGAGGATGTAGGAAAGAAGAGTCGGGCTCGAGCTTGCTAGCGCTGCTTGGGCTGCAGCCGGGACGCTGGGCGCGGACGGTCGATGGAGCGCAGATACTGCATGACGGCAAAGTCGAACTGCGCCGCCTTTGTGAGTACGTCGGGCAGCTTTTCTCCGAACGACTGTGTGGTTTCACGCCGGGTGGAGCGGCGTGTTGACTGTGCGGCGCTTTGCGGTGGGCGCGGAGTGGATACAGCCGCAGGCGCGGGCACGGGCGCAGAAGTCTTGACCGACACAGAAGTTGCCGCCCCGTTGGGTGCGGGCCCGCCTTGGCCGCTTCTGCCACCGGGCGTGGTGCCGAGAAAAGCGGCGAGGATGCTCTCGGCCTCGCTTTCGGTCAGCGCACCCGCAAAGCCGCGCCCTCGGTCGCGCTTGGCAATCTCGCGGTCCGAGTCGGAATCGGTTGCATCTGGATCCTCCTCAAGTCCTTCCTTGCTGTCCACTGAGGCCTCGGCAACCTCGACGCCCGCGTCGAGTCTGGAGGGCGACGAACTTGCCGCCGGCCCGAGAGTCGCGTCTGGATCCGCAGCGTGAATCTCGCTGAGAGACGACGACACCTTGAGCGAGCCCGTGTCGGGGATGGTGGGACCCAGGTAGCCGATGGAGGATGCGAACGACGAGACGGACGAAGCGGTCGATGATTCGGACGCAGATCGGTGCTCACGAGGCTTGACGGGGGACCTGCGAAGGCTGAGACTGTTGCGTCTTGTCGACAGCTTTCTCGGAGTGGCTGTGGAGGAGCGGTCGGCGAGATCGAGCACTGACTCGACCTCGCCGTCCTCATCCTCGTCGTACTCGAGGTCCGAGAAGGAGCGCTCGGCATTCTGGCGCTGGCGTGCCGAGGCGACGGCGGCGGCAGCGGCAGCGGCGCGCTGCGGGCGACCACTGGTGCGTGCGGAAGAAGTGGGGCCGCTGTCTTGTTGAGGCACGGTATCTGGACTGCTGCGCCTTCTCGACATGGACGCTTCCGTCTGTGATCGTTGTTTGTCGTCGAGATGGGAGCTGGAAAGTCTGCGGCGCTTGCGCCGCTTGTCTTGGGCCTCCTCGACTGCGGCAGCGGTGAGCGGGGTGGGCAGACTGTCGACCCTGTGCTTTGGCTGGCGCGAGCTGACTCTACGCGAAGCGTCCGGCTTGCTGAGCGCGAGCGGCGATCGCTTTGATGTGTCGTTGGGGCTTTCCGAGGTGTCCCAGGTGGCCTGGCCGCGCTTGATGCGGATCTTGAGCCTTGGCGACTCGCTACGTGTACTGGCATCTTCGTTGGACGCCGAAGTGGACGTGCCGGCCATGGGCTCTGCTTTGGTGGGCAAGATTGGGACCGCAGGCGAGGCGGGCTTGGCATGGTCGGTGGTGGAGAGGAGGAGGTCGTAGCGTTTGAGCGTGTCGTGTGCATCGGCGAGCAGCTCGCGTCGCAGATCCTCGACGCGATCATGGAGAGGCTTTCGGCTCGGAGAGGAGTTGTGCTTGTGCTCTTGGGTTTCGGCGGAAGCTTCTGCCCTCACCTGGTCTCTCGCAATGACGATAGGCTGGAGCATGCGCGCATCTGCGTTTTTGATCTGGTCGATGCGTGCGAGCAGCTTCTGACGATCGCGAGCGAGCCGATCCACCTCTGCCTTTCTCTGCTTCTTTTCGGCCGTCTCTGGTTTGCGATGGCGACGCTCGTAGGCTGCGTCGGAGGTGTCCTCTGCGGCTTCGGAGCGGAGGCCGCGCGTCTTGGGCATGTAGAGGGTGTCGTCGCGCGGCTTGAAGTCGGGCGTCTCGATGAGCTGCTGTCGCTTGATGGCGAGGGTGGAGACGATCGAGGATGACGCCGATGCTGCAGGCTGGTTGGCTGGCGGTGTGGACGAGGAGAGGTCCGTGGGTGGTGCCTCGCGCTTGATGCTCGTGGGATGCGGTGATGAAGCGGCGGACTGTGTTGGTGCATACGGATAGATTGCGCTTTCGATGAGCTTTGCGTCGGAGGTGAGCACTATGATCGAGATTGGGTTGGCGACGTGAGAGCGGGAGGCTGGGCGGTCCAGGACGGGTGCGCCTGCTCCACTGGAGGGTATCGGTGCAGGTGGCCCGTTGTGCGGAAAAGCAGAAGAGGATGGTGAAGGAGCTGAATCGAGCATGAGCAGTTCCTCCTCGAGCATGGATCCAGCGAGGAGCGAGGATACCTGGGATAGGCGCGCGGGCATGGTGCGCCTGCGCGAAGCTCTTTGCGTCGTGGCTGTTGTGCGCGCCGGTGGTGGAATCGGGCGGGACGGCGGATGTTGTGGTGTTGTGGGTGCGCTGGGAGGCGCCGAGCTGGGCGGCGACGAGAGCTGCATATCGACGTCTGCGACCTCTTGAGCCTCGTTGTTGACGCTGGCATTGACCGTATGGCTGTCCATGACGATGTCCGAGTCCGAGTCGGATTTGGGCGCTGGTGCTGGGTGCTCGACCGAGGCAGAGCCATGGTGCTGAGGTGGGGGGCTGTCTGACGGCGCCGATCCAGCAAAGAGCGAGGCAAAGATCCCGGCTGCCATGATGGAAAGGGTCGCCCGACTGCGGGATCCAGCGGGTTATCGAGTGATCACCGAGACGACATGGATGGTGGAGCTGAGGCGCGGGATGCGGTGCGGGAGAGCCGCGCAAGCAGGAGCAGTTGTGATGAGCGGCGTGACAGGTCCAAGCCGAGTTGAAGAGAATGATGCCCGGCCCTTCCGACAGCATTCGCACGGTGGGGAATGACGGTGAGTGACCATGTCGGCTCGTCCGAATTGCACGTCAAACTGCCGTTTGGCTTCGGTCCCTCGAAATTTGGGCCGCTTGCAAATCGCGTTTGCGCATTTCCGCTCTCTCTGTCTCTATTTCGCACACTTCGTCGGCGTCGGCTGGCCACTCTGAAAGGCCTGACTGGAAGCTCAACGACTCAGCCACACAATCTCGGCGACATCAGACGAATACACATATATTTGCCAGCATGCAAGACAGACTGAGCGAGAAAGGAGAAAGAAAAGCGAGCGCGAGGGCGAGGACGGGTGCCATCAGGGCGCCGACAGACACATCTCCATAAACGTGTCGTAGTTGATCTGCACCCATCCGCTGCGGTTGGTGTCGTGGCGCTGGAACGACTCGGTGAGCGTCTTGATCACCACGCACGCGCGTACGAATCGGTCGAAAGTGATGCCCGCCGCACCTCTGCCGCCTGGTCCGCTCGCCGCCATGCCGCCTGCACCACCCGAAGCAGAATCGGAAATCGCTGGAGCCATCACGTCAGCCGTCAGTGTCAGGTCGTGCAACACGCCCGTTGTCCGAGCTGGAGATCATACTTACTGTACTTTTGCGTGACGATGTGCAGCAGCTTGGGCGAAAGTCGGTATCCGAACGACTGGAGCGCGTTTGCCAGCTCGTTCTGGTCGATCGAGCCCGAACGGTCCTGGTCAAAGTGGCGGAAGACGCCCTGCCAGTCCTGGATGTACTTCCACAGCCCGGCGAACTCGTTGAAGCTGATGTGTCCGCTGCGGTCCACGTCGAAGACGCTCATCAGCATCTTGACCGTGTCCAGATCAAACGGCGTCCAGTCGCCATTGACCAGCGCCTGGCTCAGCTCCTGCGGGTTGATCTGGCCGCTACGGTCGCGATCCACCGCAATGAACCACTGCCACAGCTGCGGATCCGCACCCGGAGGAGGTCCCGTGTTCGAGTTGTACGCCTGAGGTCGGCCGTATCCCTGCCCCGGAGGCGCTCCGTACGACGACTGCTGTGCGCCACCACCGCCGTATCCACCCTGCTGGCCCGGAGGAGGCGCTCCATATCCACCCTGCTGACCAGGAGGCGGTGCTCCGTATCCACCCTGCTGGCCAGGCGGAGGTGCCCCGTATCCGCCTCCTCCGGCCCCGGCGTACGAGTACTGGTTCGACATGGTGATGCTGCTTTGATGCTTCGTGAAGTCCCCTGTGGCAAATCGAGCGTCTACTGCCAAAAAGAGTTGGTGGTGAGCCGGCATCCCTCTGTGTGGAGGTTTGCGCAGTCATGATCCTACCCGCCATCCACCTGGCCCAAGCGTCGAAATGCGCTCATCCGCAGTCCAAACTCCCGAATCTAACAAATACCATTTTTTGCGCCCTCGACTCTGGCTCAGCCGCTCACAGTAAACAGCACGACAAGTTGCGCAAAGATGTTTCGTTTCGAGGCGGTGTCAAGATCTAGTGATGATGGCGATGCGCCGTGATGGGTGACAGGCCATGGGCGCCGTTGCTGCGCACAGCCAATGGGCTGCCCTCGTAGGCGCTGCTGTACGAAGGGGATGCCGACATGGGAGTCGCGCCTCCAGGCGATCCTGTGGCCGTCGCCCCACTCGCCACCTTTTCCAGCTGCACTGCAACGCTGTCCAGACCGTGGATGCGGGCCTTGAGTGCGTTTTCGATCGCCCGCGCCATCGCCTCGGGTGTGACTGCCGTGCTCGAGGCGTGCTCGCTCGCGTGGAAGTGTCCATGTCCGTGCTCGTGGTCGTGATCGTGGTCGTTATCGTGGCCATGATCGTGTCCGTGGGTGTGTCCGTGGGTGTGTCCGTGGCCATGGCTTGGGTCGTGCTTGTAATCATGGTGCGCGTGGCCGTGATTATGATCGTGGCCGTGACTGTGGTCACGCTTGTGATCGTGGCTGTGCGCATGCGCATGCTCGCCGTCCAGAGGCCACACGACTTGGACGCGGATGACGCCCACGAGCGTCTCTGCGTCCTTGGGCCAGAAGCGTGGCGAATGGTACGAGACGACGCCGTTGATGCTGCGCAGCGCCTCGAGCGCCTCGCTCATCTCGGTCTCGCGATGCTCCCCAACCTCCAGACACAGGATGCGCCCAGACTCGAGCACGAGTGGGATCACCGAACCCACGATCATAAACGCAATGAAGAGCGAGGCAATCGGATCAAAGCCCGTCCATCCAAACTGTCCGATCAGCAGCGTGCTAATGATCACGCCCACCGAGCCTAGCGTATCCGCCATGACATGCAGATACACGCCCATCATGTTGTGCGAATGGCCGTGACCGTGGTCATGTCCGTGACCATGCCCATGACCGTGATCGTGGCCGTGGCCGTGCGAGTGGCCGTGATGGTGGTGGCCGCCGGTGGCCCACATACCAAACAAATTGACAGCCAGACCCATGCTGCTGACAATCAGCAGCTGCGTATTGCTGTTCATCACTGGCGGCTCGATGATGCGCTGCACCGCCTCGAACACGATAAAGATCGAGATGAGGATGAGAAAGATGCCGTTGGCAAAGCCGCTGAGCGTCTCGACGCGTCCGTAGCCATAGGTGAAGGTCGAGTCCGTGGGCCAAGTCGCCATGACACTCGCAAACAGGCCCATACCGATGGCTGCGCAATCGAAGAACATGTGGATGGCATCGCTGATCAGGCCCAGACTGTTGGTCCACACTCCCCACAGCAGCTGCACGCCCATGAACGCGAGGTTGAGCATGAGGAACTGGAAGATCTTGCGCGAGTCCGGGTTGGCCAGGATCACCTTGACCGTGCGTCGCGTGGCCGTCGCAGCCGACGACATCGACTCGACCAGCTCCTGCAATGCAGAAACATCGGGCGTCTTGGCCGCCACGCTGCCAGACCGTGTCGCCTCCGTCTCGGCGTCAGACGAGCTGAAGCGCGACGAGGCGTGGTCGGGCGAGTTCTTGAGGATGGTGCGGAGCGCCTGGCCCACCAGCAGCGCAACCACAATTTGAGACCACTGCGGACGATAGCCAAACCCAACAAAGCCGATGGCGAAGGATGCCAGCACGGCGAGCGGCCAGCCGTGCGCGATGCGATCCTTGGTGGATGCGTGCGATTCGATCGAGGTGCTCACGAGTGGCTCGAGGATGACCACGCCGAAGCTGATGGCAAGGTAGGCGGGAAGGTGGCCCATGCTCGTTGTCGTGCTTCCGGTCGTCGAAGCCAGCAGCGAGTCGAGCGAGGGGAGCGTCGAAAACCCAAACAGCCCGAGCAGCAGCGACGCCGGCAGCGTGAACGCAGACGCTACGATGGTCGCCACAATACCAGCCCTCCTCCGACCGCCCGTGTCTCTGCTCGCGCTGAGCAGCGCGCTCTCCTTTTCGATGGTGAGCAGCGCAAAGATGAGCAGGTAGGCGTGTCCAGTAAGCGTGCCAAACACGCTGAAGCTGGCGGCCGAGGCCTCTACCGCCGCCGAAGCTGCGCGAAGCTGCGACGGCGATGCGAGCCCCGCCGGACGATTGCGCCTCAGGCTGTCGGGCAGATCTGCATCCGCATACATTTCGAGGATGTGCACCGGGTAGTCGAGCGTCGACGACGGCAGCGATGCCGAGTTGGAGATGGACGAGAGGAACGAGATGGCGAGCGCGAAAAGCGTGGTGTACCCACCGTAGCTCCTGCCACGTAAGCTCTTTGCGAGGTCCACCGCCCAGATCTCGCAGTACTGCGTAAAGATGATCACGTTGACCGCATCCAGCTTGCGCAGCGCCATGAGCCACACGAGGAGCTGCGCAAACGTGATGGCCGCGAGGATGCATAGCCTTCGCTTGTCCACGCGCTTGACCGCAGGCAGCCACTGCCATGCCTTGAACCACACCCCCTGGACGAGGGCCGCGATGAAAAACACCAGCGTGGCGATGGCCCATGAGCTGGGGCCCGCTCTTGCCGCCCACGTTGTGCCGATCAACGATGTGAGGTCGGACAAGGTGCCAGCGGGCGAGACGTCAGATGCAAGCACGGAATGCATGGTCTCGGTGTGGGTGGACGACAGCCATGAGCGCACGAGCAACGCCGCCGAGGCGAGCAGCGTCTTGTTGAGCAGCAGCCCAAGCAGCAGGTCCGTGGGGATGGGGAAACCGAGCAGCGAGCTCGAGGCCGCGCTGGTGGAGCGCGACGGAGAGGCGAGCGGCTCCATTCGCACCTTGCCGCGCGACCGCGCATCGGGCGTGGTGGTGTAGGGCGACGACATGGCCTTACCAACGCTGCGACGACGACCAGGGAAGCAGCAGGCAGCTCGTCACCGAGACCAGCTCGGGCGTTGAAGACGGCGCGCGTGTTACGGTGAGGATGCCAGCTTGGAGAGCAAGGACTGCTCGCGACTCGCCAGCGGAATGCAATGTGTGGTCGAGCGTTGTAGGCCGGTTGGTGGTGGTGAGCCGAGTTGGGGCGGCAATGCCTATCTTCTTCGCACGGCCTTGGAAGGATGCCGGCATCAGCACCTCCGTGTTGCAATCGGCCAACGTGGCTCTCTGTCACTCCGCCACACGCAACCGTCAGGGTCCCCGCCCCGCGCATTTGTCTTTTCGGCATTTGTGTTTTGTACGACTCTAACACGCTCACCCCGGCCCTTCGGCGATTGCTCTTGTCCCACCTCGCACCAAGCCTACGCAGTCGACATGCATTGCACATTTCACACACACACGCACACAAGTTAGATCGGCAGGTATATCTGGTTCCATTGCGACGGATCCCATGCAGATAGATAAGAGCAATGCAGCAAATCGCAGCAACGTGACAAGGATAGAGTACAAGGGCGGGGAGAGACCTCAGGACGCCAATGCGATCCTGACTGGGGATACCCATTTTAGGCCTTCTCGTGGTGAGACGACTCGGAGGCATCGACGGCGTGGACCTCGCCGGCGTCGAGCTGGTTGAGCGCGTCCTCCTGCGAGTCGAGCTTCCTGAAAGCCCACACGAAACCGATGAAGCCGAGGAAGGCCAGCACGCCAAACACGGTGTAGTTCCACACCAGGTTGGGGTCGGACGAGAGCGCGATGAACGCCTGCTGGAGTGCAGCGGCGATGGCCGAGGTGAAGAGGAACATCGACATGACCAGCGATCGCATCGACTTCGGCGCCTTGGAGAAGGCGTATTCGAGACCCGTGATCGAGGCGAGAATCTCGGAGATTGCAATGAGGATATAGGCTCCGGACTGGATCCAAACATTGAGGGGGGCAGGCACCAACACAGCGCCGTCCTCACTACCGTCGGCGCCGAGGTCAGCGATGCCATCGCCGTTGATGTCGTAGCAAGTGGCGGCGTTCTTTCCGCACTGCGATGTCTTGTAGATGTAGTGCTGCACAACCGCAGACCACACCATGGCGAGCGCACCGGTGAGGAATCCCAGAGCGATCTTCTTGAGCGGGGTGAAGTTGATGCCGGCCTTGCGGAGGGCAGGGTAGAGGAAAAGGTCGAACAGCGGGATGAGGATGACGAGCGCGAATGGGTCGAGGTTCGAGACGACTTCGTTGGGCAGGCCATTGACCTCCATGGTGGCAGCCTGCGAGACGAGGTTGTTAGTGATCTGGTTGTAGGTGAGCCAGTACAGAGGGAACCACAGGAACACGGTGCAGGCTTTGAAGCCACGGCGCACCTCGTCGACCCAGGCATCGTCAAATGTCATCCAGCGCGGCTTGGACTCGGCGCTCTGTTTGGACGGCTTGGCGTTCTCCCAGAAGTCGTCGGCGCGCATGTTCTTGAACAGAGCNCAAATGTCATCCAGCGCGGCTTGGACTCGGCGCTCTGTTTGGACGGCTTGGCGTTCTCCCAGAAGTCGTCGGCGCGCATGTTCTTGAACAGAGCGATGGGGTTGAGCGACCAGCGACCCTTGGTGGCAAACGACCAGAGGCGCAGACACTCAGCTAGAACCGAGCCCGAAGGCGGCGTCTTGACGTAGTACTTGTTGCCGAGCACAAGCACGGGCACGCACAGCGCGAACACGATGGTGGGCAGCGTGTAGGCGAGCCAGAAGCCAACATACTTCTCGGCGAACGACATGCCAAGCTGACCACCGAGCGCACCGATGTTGATGAACAGGTAGAAGTACATGAAGATACGGCTGATCGTCAAGACAGGGTCGACGATCACGCGCTCGCCCGTCTTGAGTGTCTGCACAGACTGCTTGGAGCCATTAACCT